CCCAGCAACAGTGAACTCATTTGCTTTTCACACTATCATTCAATATTTTCTTCTCATCATGATACTCTCTGCCAACTTCCCTGATGGATCCAAACCCTAATATTCAGCAGGTAACTGAAGAGCAAATATTTACTATACCAGCTACAGACAAATATGTAACTATTTAGGATTAAAAAAAAAGGTAATTTCCACCTTAGGTGATGTGGATGACCACTGCACTGAAATAGGAGCAATTGTTTATGTAACTGCATGTCACTTAGCACTTAAATATCTTGAGAGATGCCAGAACCATTTAAAGCTCTTTCTTTTTACTAAACCCCATTTCAACTAAAAATACTTATTATGGGGACAGCCTCTCCATATGAATATTGTGACTTTTAAATGCTGTCTGTATTTAGAGTTTCTGGGAAACATATGCTGTTTATGTACTGCCTGTATATGCAGAAAGAAATAGAATAGATGTGAAGTTAGAGCTGCCCACCAGCAAAAGAGTACTCGGTGGGGAAAAAAGGCTTTGCTGTGATATCTTTAGTATCACTCAGATTTCTAGAGATTTCTGTTTGCAAATGGTTTCATGGCCTGTTCTGTGGAAGTAAAGTAAATTCCCAGCCACAGATGAAACTCTACAGGCAGAGATCCCCAGGGGGGACCCATTGCGGAGAATTCCTTCTTGTGACATTCCACTCATCGGGCTGAATTTATCCTTGAAGTAACTCTATTGATGTTGTTAATATTACATGAGGGATCAATTTCCCTTACCTCATTTGTTTCATTTTTAAAGCCAAAGAGGCCAGGCTAGCCATTCTGAAAGAATAAACTACCTTATTTCCATTTCCGCCTGCAAAGCTACAGCAATTAAGCCAGCAAAGAACCTGTCCCACTATCCCTAATACTGGGTCAGATCTTACACTCAATGCGAGATGATTTTCTAGTGAAGGATGTTGACACCAAAATAGTCACAACCAGTTCAAAGCTGGATTCAGATTACCTTAGGTTGGGGCACTGGGTGTTGAAGGTATAGAGAATCCTCTCCAGCTCAAGGATATTAACAGTGGTTGAGTAAGAGAGGCCTGTACAAGTGATGGCCTGTGCATTGCCCACAGTGCTTCAGATGCATCGTTTCTAGGTGGGTTAATAACGATCAATAGTATCACTCCTCACAGATAGCAGGTAGCTCTCTAAGCCTGTGTTAGAGGCTAGGTTTGAGGCATGGAGTACATAATACTGCCCTGAAAGTCCTGAGAGGTATTACTTCTGAGTTAGCCAGAGACTGCGGTACAGCAAATCCAGAAGCTGTCCCTCCTGTGATATATATTCCCTCTCCTTTCCATCAAGTGCAGCCAACCTTCATGCCCACAGAACTGCTTCTGCAAAGCAGTGCAAGGGTCCACAGCTTCCATGTTTCATTTTACATTGGCCACATGATTTATAAGTAGAAATCTTATAAAAACAGAATTTCAGCTGCATTTCCTTCACTGACAATGTTTGGCAAACATCTTATAAATCATAATGCTAGTACCAAAACCCTGCAAAATCAAAACAGATTTTATCAAGCTTTTATAGCCTCCAAAAGCAAGTCTGTAGAGCTTGTTCTAATTTATTATTAAATGTCTATTAGAAAATGTCATTGAATGAGCAATATTTGCTACAATGTCAAGCACACAAAACATCTGCAACACTTGCAAATAAATTACATCTTCTGATGATCTAAAAATATGTATCTCTTATTGTATCATGAGAAGAATAGGGAAAGTAACTTGATTACAAAAACGCCACAAATCCAGTGCACCATGTAATTGGTCTCATTTTATGCATTGACTTTCTTCACATCTGTGCAAATAAAGCCATTGTTACAATGCACAAAGAGCTGTGGCACATAATACATGCAGCTACAAAACCGTGAGTGCTGCTGTGTATTGAGTCTTTGAATGGAAGTGGCACATCTGCTTTTGGCATAGGAGTGTTAATCAATCCAAGATGTTTATTAAAGAGTAAGTAATGACCTGTCCACACACTCTTTCCTCCATCCAGCCTTGGTTTTGTTCTTGCTCTGTTATATTCCTGGCAGTAAAACATGGGCTCTGCACACTGAACATATGTGTTGTTTCTTCATGTAGGGATAACGTAATGTGTCACGCAATATTTAATGAGTATGTGATGGGGAATAGTTTGGACAAAAATGCAAGTCAAAATGAGGTGGAGAGGAAAGAGTAAGTACAAACAGCTACAGCATACTGACTGAAAGGTTTATTACTCTGGACAAGGCAACTACGTTTCCTAATACTTTTTGAATTAAGGATAAGACCTAGATTTGAATTCATGTTCTAGTTCTTGACAATTAATGAGCAAAATCTGAAATAGTAAAAGATGGTGAATATTTTTTTAAAGAATGGATTAGTCAATAATGCTTGACTTTGCATTTACTGAAGGTATTTATACCTTCCACAACTGGATGGAAGGTAAAAATGTTCCTACCTGAGCAGGACAGGTAGGAACATAAGCCTTTCAGTTCTTGCCTAGGTTGAGCAGCAGGAAAAGTCAACACAATATTGGCACTGGCCAACATTGGCACTGCAGGTTGGCCCTTTTTTGGAGCAATTGCTGATATGTTTGGCACAACCTGTAAGATGTTCCTTTCCCACTGACTGAGGAGCTCTAGAGTCTGCTGTGGAACAGCAGTCCAAGGACAACAATACTGTTTGTGGGTAGCCTCTTCGTAGGCTACTTGCATGAAGCAGCACTTAAAAGTCTGGACCTCAGGAAGAAGGCAGTGGCTCTAGGTCTGACAATAGAGTCTGGGACACACAGTGCTCCTTCCTCTTCCATCAAAAGATGCACAGGAAAGGGTCCTAGGAGAAGGAACCCTCCAGAACTAGGCAGCAGGAGCAACCCATTCTGTTTCCCAGTGAAGGGTCTACTTTTGAGTAACCAGAGGTAAAAAGAAAATACCATGGATGATGTCTTCTTGGCTTCCAGATAGTGAGGTGATAAGAAAGTGATGCTATTCTTCAAATGCATTTTGGAAGCAAGATGTCCTCTCAGACACTTAAGGGCTTATCCATTGGAAAGACAATATCTCTTTCGTATAATGGCGACGGAAAACCACCGTTTTAAGAGATGAGGTTGGAAAACATGGATGGTTCAGGAAGGCTCATTGTACAGGAGAGGGAATAGAGGCTACTGGAAGTGTGCCACCCAGTGTTTTATACTTGCACATTTAATTGACTCCACTGACCAAACATCTTCAGTTATTAACATCTTCTTTGTTAAAATGGTCAGGACATATTGAAAGGCTGGATTCCACATGCATATGTTTCATTGATAATGCTGCCTATCAGCTCTGTCCCAAAAGTGTCTGAGATTGCTGTAAATTTGTTAATTAGGTCTCTCTTCATTTGTAGCTGAAACTTAGCTGCATGAGTGACCTAGGTGGATTTAACAAGACAGCATTTATACAGCAATTACTAGTGCAGGCTAGAATTATCTTGATCAGAGTTGTTACAGCATCTGGTTAAGATATTTTACCTAGGATAAGATATTAATTGAAGTAAATCAAAATACCTGGGTAGCCCAAAAAAATTAAAAAAGAAAAAAAAGCCAATCATGCTTTCTCCCATTTATTCCACACATTCTTCAGTTTATCCTTTCAATTTTATTTTATTTTTATTTTATTTTATTCTGTATGCCTGATAATGGGACTCTATGGAACTAAACCTTTTGCAAGTTGCTGGTGCCAGCTTATTGCAGAGTGCCCTGGACAGGTCTCTTCATTTCCATTTCATTTGGTCTTTCTGGCTGTCACGTACTGTTATTTAAATGAATGCTTTTGAACTCAGATTTTTTTAACGCAAATGTGTGCTGCTTCCCTATTGAATTGAAACCATCAATACTTCTTTTTCTCTATGAAAAATAGGATAAAGAGTAATATTCTCAGGGCTGAAGGTGGGTTGTGATGTTGCTTTTCTGTGAATTAAAGCTAAAAAAAGGAGACACATAAAATGGTGAAGTACCAAAATATTGTTTCAATCTTCCTTCTATCCAAGATATGATTAAAGCAGTGTTGTATCTTTTAAAGAACAGCTGAGGAAGGGAAGGTGCCAAGACATAGCAGACTGGTCACACTACCTCAAGGCATTCTGTAGGGGAGTACACATAGAAGTGTGAGACACTACATCCCTCCAGCAATCTTAAGGTTATCAGTTTTGAAGGTTATGATTCAATTTGAAAGTAGGTGTCCTCTCATTTTTAACTTTTTGGAAGCTATCTACCAGGAACCATGGGCTGAACTTACAGAACATCTTAGAGGGAAGAAAGTAAAAAAGAACAGATCCTTGGTTCCCTTTAGAGTATACTGCATTCTTATCTTCGGATTTTTCTTTTGGCTATAATGTCTAGAAATGTACTTTTAAATAAACATGTGAATGTGAAAGTTCTCCAGTAATCACATGCCTCCTGAAGCTGGAGCTTTCTGCTCACCAAATATTACAAGGTATGCAAAACACCACATGCCATGCCCCAGCATCAAAAGGGTGGGTAACACCTGAGTTACATCCATCCCTGATCTCTGGCAGACCAAGAGGCGTGTGATGCTGAAGCATGTGGACTCTTTCACCCCTTCTCCCATTGGACAAGCATCCATCTCGCACCAAAAAAAGCCACAGTCCATGCCCAGCAGCACCATTGCCAGCAATATTAGCAAACAGACCTCAGAGACTGAGCTCCCCTTTTAATCACAGAAGTTGTTGCTTTCTCTCAGTGTCAGTGGTTGTTGTTCCAGCCCAGGCTTTCTACGCATTATTTCTGGACTAACGAAAACTTAAACTTGCTTGCCCTGCAATACCAAATTTATGGATGAGGAGACAACTTCAGCCTGCCAGGTGATAATTTGGCACCCTTATGTCAGTTTTAAAATCCCTACAGCTGTAAATATTTATTGGATATGAAATATACTCCAGCTAACACATTATCATATGAATAAATATAACCTTAAATAAAACATGTGCACTCCATCTTTTATTCAGTTTATAAAATTCTTGCTTCTTGCTCCAAGCATTCTCAGTCTAATACAGCTACTCAGAAGCACAGTAATCGATGGTGTGCCCTGATTTCTTTTCTAATACAATGTTTTGCTTCTTGTATTTCACCTCTTACAGCTTTTGCAAAGTTTTGATTTGATAGGACAAGCACAGGGAGGGCATTAGGACCAAGAGAAAGACACACACATTGCTCTGTATTATGTCTGGCAAAGTGCTTCCTGACTGAGTGCCGTAGTTATGTGAGAAACAAAGTCAGGGACCGACTAGTTCTCATCTGTTGATCACAGTTAAGTTAAAGCCTCTGAACGGAGGAGAGCTGTCAGATCTGCTTTCAGAGATACAGTGCTTCAATCCAGGCAGCAATTGGAAACTTTGAAGAAGCAGGATCTATCTGGAAGGAAACTATAAGACACAGGATTTCTTTTGACTTAGAATTTTAAAAGGGAAAAAAATCAAAGCTTTAGTTCCTCTTTTAATCAGCAAAATACATGCTTTCCTAACTAAGCTGGGACTCTGTACAATAAAAGATCTACTTTATTTCACTGGATCCATGCTACGTTTTACTACAGTAAGTAAAATATTATTAGGAACGTTATTTTTTTCTGTAAATAGAGAGGAAAGCATGAAACAGCATCAGTGAAATGTGAGGGGAGCAAAAAAATCCTCTTGGCAGATAGTGAAAAACGGCGCTTTTGTGCAACCCGAGGACTGGAATCTGAGGAAGATCGAAGTGATATTTAACATGACCATCTGTATTGTTTTGTCACCAACAGCATGTTCTTGAGGAAGAAGTGCAGATATGGATCACGTAAGCTGCAGTTTCTCTTGTTGTTTCTGATGCTGGGTTTTTTGCTACTGATGGTTACAATGCTGAATCCACCACCCAGCAACCAGAGCAAGGAAGGGACTTTCCAGCCTGTGGAGTTCAACCCCCGGGAAGGGTATCAGATGGACTTTGAGGAGACCCAAGAGATGCTGGAGACCCAGGAGGAGAGCCAGCAGTATTACCCTTTGGATGGTCTATCGCCTTTCATCTCCCTGCGGGAGGATGAGCTGATCGTGGCCGTCGTGTCGCCCACAGGCAAAAGGAACCACAGCAAGGCCAGGAAGGGCTATCGCGTGGTGAAGCAGCAGAGCAGGCGGCCAGAGGGGAAGGCGGAGGGGGACCCCGAGTCCCTGCCGCTGTCCCTTCCCCTGCAGGCTGGGGAAGGGGCTGCTCCGGGGGAGCGGCCGCTCGGCCTGGAGACCCACGGCTTTAACGAGGTGCTCAGCGAGCGGATCGCGCTGCGCAGGGACCTGCCTGAGGTACGACACCCGTTGTAAGTAAAACACCCTATTTCACTTCTGGGGGAAAACCTGTCTCGTTCCCCGCCGCCGCGCCCACCACCCCCCCCGCACCTCTCCGCCTCCAAACCCCGCGTCTTTCCTATCAAACTCGCCGCTCCGGGTCGGGAGAGCGCTTTTCCCCGCGCTGTGTGGGGAGCACCCCCCGTTCCTCAGAGGCAGGGGCGCTCCCAGTCTCGCTCCGGAGGTGGTTCAAGCCCTCAGGAGCCGACGGGCGGCAAAAGTGGAAGGGGGCGCGGGGTTGAGGGGCGCAGCTACAGCTTCCCGAGTCAGAACGAAAACCACAGCCGACCGTACCCACCCTACCAGAGCCGACCGCTGTTGGCGTGTGCGCGGCTGCGGCACCTCCCCCCGCCCCGACCCGGTCCCGCGCCGCCCTGAGGGCGAGCGGGCGGCAGCGCCCCCTCCCGGCGCCCTCCGCCGCCGCAGGTGCGGGCGGGTGGCAGCGGAGGGAGCGGTCCGAGCGCCGCCGCGAATGTCTGTCCGTCCGTCTGTCTGTCCGTCTGCTGGGGCCGGAAAGGGAATCCGCGCCGGGATGTCGAGCGGGAAAGGCGGCTGCCGTCCTCGGCCAGGCCCCGGGCTCAGCCCACGTGCCGGGGCTGTGATGGGCAAAGCGATAAAGCAGTCGGGAGTTGGGGCTTTCTGCTCTTTTAGAATAAAAGTGACCCAATGGTCACTTATCAAAATGGACCCGACCCTGAGCTGGTGCAGCCTCACTTTGGATACTGTGTGCAGTTTTGCACACCACAACATAAAAAAGATATCGAGGTATTAGAGAGTGTCCAAAGGAGAGCAATGAAGATGGTGAAGGGCCTAGGGCAGAAGCCGTATGAGGAGCAGCTGAGGTCATTTGGTCTATTCAGCCTGGAGGAGACTGAGGGACCTCATTGCACTTACAGCTTCCTCATGAGGGGAAGAGGAGGGACAGGCACTGATCTCTTCTCTGTGGAGATCAGTGACAGAAGCCAAGGGAATAGCCTGAAGTTGAGTCAGGGGAGGTTTAGGTTGGATGTTAGAAAAAGGTTCTTCACCCAGAGGGTGGTTGGGCACTGGAACAGGCTTCCCAAGGAAGTTGTCACAGAACCAAGCCGACAGAGTTCAAGAAGTGTTTGGATGATGCTCTCAGGCACATGGTGTGACTCTTGGGGATGGTCCTGTGCAGGCCAGGAATTGGACTCAGTGATCTTTGTGGGTCCCTTCCAGCTCAGAATATTCTGTGATTTTGTGACAAACATCGAAAGGAAACTCCTGGAAGGCAGGAAGGTGGAGATCGGTGTGTCTGACCAGAGCTGCCAGCACCACTGTGGTGGTAAGTGGCTGTAAGGCCACTGCCTTACATTTGAAGCCTGGAGACTTGAAAGTCAGTTGTCCCTGCAGCCCAGGAGGGGCAGCTGATCACACTTCTTAAAAAGGATCTGAGGTGTATCTACTGTCAAGCTGCCCCAGGGGAGGTTCAGGATATTAGGAGGAATTTCTTCACAGAAACGGTGATTAGACATTGGAATGAGCTGCTCAGGGAGGTGGTGGAGTCACTGTCCCTGGAGGTGTTTAAGACTGGACGTGGCACTCAGTGCCATGGTCTCACTGACAAGGTGGTGATCAGTCAAAGCTTGGACTCAATGACCTCAGAGATCTTTTCCAACCTAATTGATTCTGTGATATGCTTCCCTGCCCAAGGAAGAAGGAAAGGATGTGGGTGGGTATCTTTATTTCTTGCCTTCTGTAATGAAAGCTGTTGTAACTTTCGTCCAGGACACAGTGGAAAGATGCAACAGAGAACATTTTAAGCAAGACACAGAATAATTTTGCTTTCTAGTGTTCATTTTCACATGTTTAAAGGCAGCTGGCAGCTACAATTTAGGGGACAGTCTCAAAGAGAAATGAAACAGTTTTTTCTGTACTTGGTTACTAGGTTCAGTGTTAATTTGGATAATTCCATTAAATAATGAGATGCTGATATTATTTCAGTTATTTTTTGGCATGCTTCACTGGCAACTCTTTGAACTGTGTAATGTTCAAAGGAGGAATGACGACCCTGGTTTACTGCCTGTGATGTAAGCCAAAAAACAGTTTTACTTTGGCAGCTGAAGGGCCATCCAACAAGAGACAGGTTTAGTTAATACTAATCTCGGTAAGATTTAAGCCATGGTCTCAGAGCTCTTGGATGGATTTTGCTGTCTAACTAGTTACAGCCTAAAGAACTCTCAACACCACAGCTTACAGAGCCCTGACTGAAAACTCAGATCTCAACATCTGAGGCTGATCTGAATCCAGACCATAAACCTGCAGCAGAGGTATATCTCTATGCCAGTCCTGTCCTTTACGGCACAGCACACAAATCATAATGGTATTTTTTAGGTGTAGTTTAGTCTGGGGGCCTGGATCACAACTATGTCAGTCCAGTTTTACACCAGTGTAAAACGAGAGTGAACCAAAATCAGATTGTCTATGTCTCTAATCCATTTGAGTAGTGTTGTTCACAATAATGTCTGTTATTATTTAGTGAGAGGGAACCCAACCAGTTAGAGATGTTTCAGTGAGTTAGTTCCATGGACTAAGTCTCTCTCATTTTACTTGAAATTGGGTGGGAAATTCTTCACACCAAAAGAGGCTCATCCTCTGAGGTACTTCCATCCCTTCATACTTTTTGCTGCTATCAGTTGGTCCAGCTGCAATTGACACCCTCTTGGGACACCACAATCAAGCCTGCCATTGTGACTTTTGTGATGGGGGTTCTAAGAAGGTCTCTTGGGCTTGAGTGTCAAACGTATCCAGGCAAAAGAAACTCACAATGTATCTACAAAGGTTTTAAGTTTCATTTAAAAAGTATAGCTTCCACTGGAGTGCTGTTGGGAGCTGAATCTCAATGAGATACTTTCCTGAAGGTGAGTGGGAGTCTATGCCTTTGCCGTGTCAGAATTGCTCTCTGTTCATTGCTGCATGTGACAATTCCTTGTTTTTCACAAATTGGATTAAATCACTATGTCTCATATCAGTCACAGTCCTGATTTTTTGAAATGCCAATTTTTGATGGACAGTCTATGAAACTGCTCCAAATTACAGGGAAGGTATTTCTGTATACCAGTACCCTTTTGAATTTTTCTGAAGATTAGATATCTATATTGCAAGTCTTTGCCAATCTCCATGGCAACTAAGCACTTGCCACCAAGGTTATGTATTCAAGTACAGTTATTTTCAATTCTTTTTCCAATTAAGATTTCACAACAGCCTTATTTTCTTGCTATAGCCACACTACTAGCAACAAGATGTTGTAGTGTTATGGTGCAAAATATAGGTGCTAATATCTATGGAACGTTTCTGATTAGAAGCTGCTTGGTAGTAAAAGGACTGCATCAGATCTTCACTTTTCTTAATTACCTCTAGATTCTTCTGCTTGAAAATATTCACTGCCAAGACACGAGAGTATTCTTTTCTCCATCCAGCTGAAAATAGAAACAATTATCCCATATGAAATTGTGAGGAAGCAGCATTATTGATTACAGAAAATTAGTAAACCAAGGGCAACATAGATTTATTACAGTGTACAAATCATCAAAAAAATTTGCCCGTCTATAAAAAAATTAATATGAACTATTAAAAACTATAACAAATTATTACAATTATACTCATTTAAAATTTATATTTCCAAAAGTGTATCTATAATATTCATTTATGTGTACTTGTAATTAAATCATTCAGACTATGGATTCTCTTAAATGATTAGCAGCTTTGTGTCTGCATAGTGTCTAGAAACATAGGGCCTCAGTCCATGAATGGAAGCACTAAATAAAATGCTAATAAATGGAAACACTAAGTAAAATGCTAATAAACATATCAATATTAAAATTATATCCCTTACATGAGTTTCTCCTAAGTACCTAATTGTTTAACAACCACTGTAAAACCCATATAGTGATTTGCTTGATAATACAAAAAAGCTGAAATAACAATGGGCCACATCCAACCAATTCTATAATTCCTTGAAGTTCTTGCTGCTGGAGATTAAATGAGTTAGGGCACTGAATGACTGTTACTTGGGAAATGAAAATATTTTAAAATGTGTATTCTATTGTAAGCAAAGCAGATATATAGACACAGTCTTTGCATTTCTGCAAGGGGCATTGGAAGGCATTTTCTGGAAAATGTGCATCTTCATGCCAGGATAGCGTGTCCTGTGTCTCTGAACTAGGACTGGTACATCAGAAAACGCTTTCTGTCACAAACGCAATTTGTAGGTTCTTTGCTTACATTTATGAAACAGCCATTGTTTGGCGAGGGTTTATGGTTTTCATGTGCAGTTTCTGTGAGGATGAACAGAAAGTGCTTTTCATCTTTAAATGCTTGAGTTGTCAAAGCAGCATCTAATTCATGGTAATTTTGATGGAAGTTGTTTCAAAGTCATGGGTGAAATCTTGGCCCTATGGAAAACTGAGGAGCCATGGGCTCCAGCTGCAATCTGGATCATCTCTAGGAATGCCATACGCTGACTCACATAGCCAAGTGTCTTGCAGTAGGTTGTGTTAGTACCTGGACTTGTAAAGTAATAGCAGAAAATGGTGTAGAGAGAATCTGCCCAGTTGTCAGCCTCATTCATCAGTGACTCATTTTCATTGGAAAAGCAAAATTTATAGTGAAAATACATTTACTTTCTTAAACATATCTGCATTTGTATTCATGGTCCATGTAGGGATCCATTTCTTTCCTGTAGAGGACTGAGATGTTGGGTTCATTCACTAGGATCTTGGTCAAGTAGTCCACACATCTACTGCTCAGTTGTTAGTTTTAAAGGCACTGCATTTCAGTTTGCTCTTTT